AAATGTACTGACTTTAAATGAACTATTTACTTGGTTTGTTTAGTTAGTTCTCTAAATACAAGTAAAATATCATTTTTCTAACTTGATTGAAGCTTCTCTTATTGCTGTTAAGAGAGCTAACTAAAGAAATCTATCTAAATTTGAATTTGTATGGGAATCTGAGAACGATGTCCAAACTTTTTGGTGACCATAACACAATCCAACAAAGTGTTCATGACATGACAGCTGCCCCTGAAATGGTGAATTGCCCTTATGAATATGCAAAAACTCAAGGTTCATAACCAGGATTTTATGGCATGTTGCACAGAAATGGTACAATAATAATATATTGTCACTGAAAAAAGTGGAAAGACCACATGCACACCACATACCTGTGAAACAACTACTACCCATTTAGGACTTAACTAAAAGTGTTTAGTCATCAACGATTTAGTATGTAAAAAAGCTAAGAATTCACTCAGGCATGAACAAAAGAAAGATGCGCACAGGTATTTGCTTTAGTTCCCAATGTTCTGCTCCAGTAATATCCACTCTTTTGTATAAAATAGCAACGAGATAGCTGCAATAGATAAAACATCTTTGCTTTTGTTTCACAGATTATTATATGGTGTGYACTCTATGATAACATGTAAGGATAATTTCTAATTATTGTAGTAAGCAGGAACACAAAGGAAATAAGCTCAAAGTAAATCAGATTGTAACTATTAATGAATCATTTTGTCTTTTTTTGTTTTGATGCAAGGTTACTTATTTCTATAGCATGACTTATCTTTAATAACAATGTAATAATGCATAATAAAGGCATTAAAATCCATGTGCCATTAGGAATGATGTAAAACAACAAGTGTTCTGACCACGATGTTTGGGCAATAAACTCATCACCATGGCACAACTTGGATGAGATGACGAAATATAGCACTGTCTTGGAACACGTCATAGTTGAAACAACAAGTGCCATTACTACACTATGAGCAGAACTCTGGGCATTCTAAGAGAGAAAAGGCAAAAGATTTATCATAAGTTCCTAATCTTATGCAAAATATATGTATAAACTCACAAACCATTGAATATTTGTCATGAACTAAAACTTTTAGTTAGCCAGGGATGACTATTAATTTCTATATATGCAGGGGCAGCTCTAGAGGAATGTGAGGGGAGGTGGGGGGAGGGAGGGGGATTGTTGGATTGTTTGTACTCTTTAAACTTTAATCAAGGGGGGGGGGAAGGGGATTGTCTGTACTCTTTAAACTGCAAAATCGACAGTTTAAACACCCCTAGGCAAAATTCTGAATCAACCCAATAGGATATGATATGGTATGATAACAAGAAATTTTCTTACCAAAACAAGTGTAATAGCATTGAAGAAAACTTCAACTAGATTCATCCTAGTGAAAAAGTGGTTAATTAACATAATGAATTRCATCATCAAAACCAATTAAAAATAATAGAATAATAATTATATATAAAATTAATAATAGGATAATAGATACTTACCAGCTTTGACCAATAACAAAGCCATCCTTCAGGTCTATATATCGCTTGTCAATTTCAATGTAAAGATTGTCTAAAAATRATATTTGCAAGAGTCATAGAGACTTGAACTAAATGTTTTATGACCAAAATGAATATAAAACATTATAAATAAAACCAGCATTAAGGGAGCATAAATAATAATTATTCATTATTTATCCCTGGGGCTAGAGGAAGGGGGCTAGGAAAATTCATAATTAAGTACAATCTTCCTCCCTCGTCAGTTTAGGAACTAACAGAGGAATCAAAATCATTAGTATRGGAAAAAGTGGGAGGGCTGTGGCCCCCCTGCCCCACCCCCTCTGCGCCCCTGTTAACAAACACACCTGCTTTGCAATATTATTGGTACAGTAAAATTATAAAGATGTTTTTTTCATGCTTAAAATGGATATGAGAATTATGTTTAAAGGGAGCATCCCCTATTTTTTTCTCCCCCATCACATACCCCCACCAAGGCATTTATAGGTCGACCCTTTATGTTACGTTCCATTGGATTGTTTTCTGCATAATACAACAGCTAATAATTTTGTTGAAAACTTAGATATGCAGAAAAAAACTACAAGTATTTCGAGGCGAAGTATTTCAAAGAAGGCGCCATTGATTGACTTTTTTCTCTTATCATTTATTAAAACATGCTATTCATGTCAAGCCACACAAGAGAATGTTACATTCATGATAATGGTTTTGTATTCGCTCAATAGATTGTCAATGTTTATGATAATTGCGCTAATGAATTTTCTGTTCTTTATGAATGCTTGCCAATAAATGCAATAGCTTGTTGATTGGTGTTATTGAATTTTAGTTTGATGTAAATGACTAAACAGTTTCCGCCCACAGTGTCTGAACGAACTTTTGTTTGTCAATTAATGCTATTGAATATCCATACATATTGAAATATCGTAATTGAAAGTTCGATCCACACTAATGAAATGTATTGTAGAGTAAATGAATACATATTCACGTTATTGATATAACTCTTGGCATAAATGAAAGTATCTTTTCTGYTAATGAACAGCAAAAGGTGTACATGTACATTTTAGAACTTTTGCATTGCTTGCATGACAAAATACTCACAGGGTCGCACAAGATAATTCAGGTCGCCTCCAGGCAGGGTACGAGGCCTGAGAAGAACGAAGAGAGCATCTATTGTGCAAATAACAGAAGACAGGRCAAGCCAGAACGCAATCCATGAAGGCAGYTTGMAYRAYYTCTGCAACTTGTCTGCCATCTTGAWCAGAAATCACGTGATCATAATCCGCTGTACAAGAACGCGCGCGAAAATGGCGCGAAAGTGTTACTGTGGAGTTCYGGAAAATCATGTGAACAAACAATTCAAAATCTCCACCAAATAACCATAATTTATTTATAAAGCACCCAAAATACTTTCATTATTATAAACAATATGAATTCAACAAATATTTGGGCGAATCTCTTCCAGTTTTTTCTCTCAAATAGAAATTTCTTCTGGGCTGTTCCTTTCGAATCTTATCTGCAGCCCAACCTGTCTGCAGCCCATCACATCAACAATCCTTCCCGAACAATCGTTTATAACTTCACCACTACGACCTCAGCTAACGGATGTTTTATTTAACTCTGTTGGTGGTATCGTCAGTGCTTCCGTTGTTGGACTGTCCTGTTTTGGGATGGAAGTTTATTTTGTTGCTGCAGAGGAAACAGTGGTGATTCCAGGTAAGAATTCTTCAAAATCGATTCGTGTTGAAGTGTCATGAAAAACTTACCTGTATTTAGTTTTGTCAAAAAAAAAATAGTTTACGATCTTGAATATTCATTCAATGATTGAAGACTATTTTTCAGTCTAAGAAATTCAGTTCTACGCATTTATTGATACCAATAAACTTTAAGAGAAAATATATTGATGGTTTTCACGGCGGCCATGTTGGAGGAACTTAATTTTCAATGAATCATTTTGTTATATCCTCCAACATAARCCATCAGGCTACTATAAAGCTAGTTTCATTGATAGAAGTAAATACATTATTAAYATTATCATTTCAGCACCTATTTTAAGGTATTTCAAGTTTATGAATTTAACATATGATTATTGATAAGGAAATACATTAAYATAAAAGAGTTATATAAACCAGATGTGGCTCAGTAATAATTTTCAGTGTTAGTTTGAATCCATCGATTTTTTGATTCAAAGATTTTGTTATGGAATGCATGGCGCTAGCTGTGCAGCTGTTTCAAATACCTCYATGATGTGTCATTTCTAACAATATTTTCTTTCCGGAGCTCGAGAAAATGAACGGGTTATGAMTCTATTTATATACCTTATCTTCCTCTCCCCTCCTCTCTACGTTTTCGTTTTCTGACTRGCTTCGTCATGGCCTTGAAATTTAAAGCATGCAAGATGTTGGACAAAATTCCAAACTGACAGAAATAGGAAAGACTTTAGTTCGGATATGGAGCTCGGGCTCCCKGTGGCTATCGGKAACGGTTTAAGTCATACTAAATGARGCTGGCATGGTTTCCGGTAACTGTATTATCGTCCGACCTCCGGAAAATGATTAGTCTAACTTATAACATCCTCGYTGAAGTAATAAGGCACAAACCGGAAAACGTGACAGGTATTGAAATATTTTCAATAACAGCATGGAATCGTGTGTAAAATATAAATGACAAGGATAGGGATGTTGTGCGTAGAGGATGGGGAAAACACCCCTCCCCCTGAAAGGAAGAAATTGGAAATAAAAGAAAGAAGAAGAAAAAATAAAAAAATAAATAAAATAAAATAAATTAAAATATATAAATTACTATGGAGAAATAGGAAGAAAGAACGAAAGAAAAGAAAGGAAAACAAAAACAAAGTGATCTTTGCAAGAATAACTTCTGAGAAGTGAAAACGCACTGTCTTCCAAAAACAATTTAAAAAAGAAAGAAAGAAAGACATCAGCACAAATAAAGAAATAACAAAAAGACGCTAGGAACGAAAGACTGAAATAATACCATTAAAGATATYCCTGCAGTTTATATTGCCTAATATTAGAGTCAGTACTCGATCATTCCTAYTTCCGCAAAGAAAAACATCAGCACAAATAAAGAACTAACAAAAAGATGTAAGAAAAGAAAAACTGAAATTATACCATTAAAGATATCCCTGCAGTTTATATTGCCTAATATTAGAGTCAGTACTCGATCATTCCTACTTCCGCAAAGAAAAACATCAGCACAAATAAAGAACTAACAAAAAGATGTAAGAAAAGAAAAACTGAAATTATACCATTAAAGATATCCCTGCAGTTTATATTGCCCAATATTAGAGTCAGTACTTGAAGATATAGAAATATAGATAAGTTATAGTGCTTGGGAACGAGGTTATTCCGGACGAAAGTCCTTGGAAATAAATTCGGAAAAATTAATTTCCGACCTCGCTGGGAATCGAACCCACGACCTTCAGAATTGATATTAGAGTCAGTACTTGATCATTCCTATTTCCGCAATCACTATATAAACTGTTTTTGGGTTGTTACTAGGCGAATGTTGTCAAATAAACCAGACAGCACGATGAGGTAGATTTAACCTATCGTAATTTTCACTTCCGGCATGTGTAAATAGAAGTCCAGAATTTGCCATCCTAATGACCAAGAAAGGAGAATCTTAGATTTTGTTTTGTTTTGGCACCTCGTTATGTTACGTCTAGTTGGTATTTGGTCATGAAGCCTTAATAGAATTAATCCATTAGGTCCATTATAGATGAGGTGTGTAGGGTGGGCCCGGAGTTGCAATTCTCGTGCCATGTGGGGACGGACCTTTCCGTCCATTTCCCTCATCTGTCGTTCAATTCATGCTATGACATGATTACAAAGGCTAGAGTGATTGCTTTTTCAGGTTAGCTTAATGTCAAATACCATAAATATTATTACTCTATCATAGGAAATGTGATATYGTGTTTAGTGGGTGTTTCTGAGCCTTGTTATGCGTATTTAGTGCAAGATTACCGTGGTACTGACATGCGCCCTGCAGGGAAATAATGATGCTTGAAATGAGTGAATCAGTGTTCGAACAAGCACTGGGATTTATGGGATTTTGGGTGGCTTCAACATAGGAGTGAGGGGTGATAATGAGAGGTGATCATACACGAGGGAGGGGTGGTTGGGGGGTTTTTACCTTACACAAAATCATACCTGGGAATCAATGCTATGAAAAATGTTAACATCTAAAACATTTTAATCCCCAAGAGAATGGAATTCCTTCGATTTCACCCCCAGATTGAGAATTAGTACATGGGGTCCATTAAAAAATGGCAAGATCTAAAGCAACCATGAGACACAAATTCCCCAGTCTGTCCCATCATCCTTCTTTGTTCACTACTCAAGGCATAGCGGTTTGAATGGCTTTATTCCAAAAACGCCTTGCAACTGCATTTATAAATATTTGAGACGATTTCATTCCTATATCTAATTATTTCTGTTGACCTATACGGTAAAAGCGCACTTTGGGTATATTTACGCCCTTTATTAGTGTCGTGCCCAAACTTCGCCAATATTAAGATTCGTTTCTTACTTATGCTGCGTTTACACGGTACCGGACGAATCTTTAACCGGTCAAACATTTGACCTGTACATAGTGTTTACACGGAACCGCGGTCTCTTTACTTTGCTAGGCCGGCGTACGAATGTTTGTTCGGATAGCTCGGTCGCGTGTGACGTACGACTTTTGGCCTGTTAAAAATTCGTCCAGTACCGCGTTAAACGCAGCTTTGGTCTGTCACTAAAGATTGTGAGCTTGAAGGCTCCAGCGACATTCTACTCATTCCCTTGGTSAGATAGTGCGCATTCTTTTGTTCTATCTTAGCCTTGGATTAAACTTCTAGCACATTATAATACAAGGAAAGAAAGTTATTTTTACCCTACTTATTGAATGTTATTACAATGGCCTATCAAATGTCACAATCCATTRTACATTGAATAAATCCAACACAAAAACACATGTTTTATCACTCATGCTGTTTCATTCGACATATTCTTAAGAGCAAACGCGGCAATTTCCCGCCTTTTTGACACAACACCGACTGATTGGATTTAAATAGAAACGAAATTGAATCAGCTGCTTTCATCGTTACATGGTAAAATTGGCGATGATCTATGACGCATAGCAAGGCAGYCTCATTTAACAAGTTCCCTTGAACGACCTATACAGATTGATTGATAATAATTGACAATTATTGAYGATAAATAATGGATGATCAAATACACCCCCAGCTGCGAGCCAAACCAATCAAATTYAGGATCGTTTTATGATGTAAATTTTATGTACACTAAGCGCTCCTGCAACGGTTTGAGTTTCACCTTGAAAGAAAACTAATTGTGTCTTAAAAGCACTAAGAACGCCGACAGTTTAGTAGAGAAAACATGTTCTTGGATTGAAATCTTATCTTTTGAAATCAGAATAATCCAGCTGAAGTGGATGACAAGAGGAAGATTTGACGAGTTCACATCAATGCTAGACGCACAAAGTACTAGAACTCCAGGCGAAACTCCAGGCTAGATTGTACATATATTCCTTGATTGAGGTTAGTATGTTTGTTATGAACGCAAAATGTCAAGGTGATTAGTTATATACACATATGACCGGGTAAGATTAAGTAWAAATGAGAAATGAACCTCTCGGTGTGACGCTCACAGTCATTTTATATAACATTAAAGCCGCAAGAAACCTCGTTTGTTCTTTAGTGGGAAAACTTAGGTTGATGTTAATGATAATGTACTGGACTGCAATTAGCACTCGCAAACTGCACTAAGACGGTGATTATTCAGAGTTTTTACAATCATATATTAGACCATAGTTTACAAGCACTTCGTGCATCTGTAGTGAGCCATGTTGAGATTCGGCCAAGTTGCATGCAGTACTGAACGGCTAATGCTGCCGCGTGCCAATGTAATTGTTGTTGTTCACTCTGTTGTCGTGTGACTATTTTCCATCTATTATCCAGTTTACTCCCTAATCATTGTCGTCCAAAAATTTGCTTAGCAGAGTTTAATTTTTACAAGCTAAAGCTGGCATGCTGTTTACATTCTTTCAGTCTATAACCTGATACATTCAGTTGGCTTATTACTTCAGTTGTCATTGCTGCTGTTGTCCTGCCGGCAGGTCGTTATTGTTTCAGTATTTTGTTGTGTAGAATAATTTGTTTTGTTGTTGTTTTATTGTTTGTGTTTCACTGTTGGTGCGGTTTTTGTTTCTGTCGTGTGCGAGATATCTGTTTTTCTTTCTTTTCTCTCTTTCCTGGCCRTAAAGCATGCTATATTGCAGTGTTAGTATAACCGTTTTATTCACGCTCTCTAAGTATACTTCTTCAGTAGTCGCTTCATACTCACTGCTCTGCCCGGCGGACACGTGAACTGGAATATACTGGTTTCGGCTTGTTGGTTCTCTGCTGTCTGTGCTTTTTTCTCGGCGGATTTTCTCGTTTTCCTCCCTCCCCAAAATCAACACTTTATTTCGGTCCCGCTTATACCCTTAGGCCCACTATATCAGTGGGAAAACTGATAAATCAATCAGTCAAATTTTCCCTCCCTCCCCCTAATCTGTAAACTTTGCGGTTTTGAAGAAACATCTAAAATTCGGTTGAGTAGCCAGACCAAGAACAAAGACAAACCYAAGTGTTGACAAGATTCGCTAAGTAGTATCCAGATTATACATRATACTGAGTAAACCACCGATGAAACTGACAAACATCTGGTATATCTTGTAGATGCACTTGCTGATAACCGCATTTCAAATTGATTGCTTTACGCCTCTACGTACTTATGGGACACATAGAACATCAGTTGTGTAATGTACGCATCAAGCGCAATTAGTAAATCCTTTCCGCTTAATAATCTTCTTTGGGCCAGGATTTCTCTGTGCACTCACTTGTGCCATAGTGGTTTTTGGGCTGCATTGCGTGAGGCTGTTTCAGTGCGCGTGTAGCCTTCGGGGGTAAGAGTGTTAGGTGTTGTTGCCTAAGGGCGCTGATGGCTTGTTTTGTTGCTTTGCCTTGCCATGGAGTTAGCAAACAGGAAGCCATCTTTCATGGTCYCTTGTCACCATTAAACCTTGCCAAGAGGATGAAACACGGATGACTGACATCGCTTAAGGTGGYTTCTGGGTCGTGTTATTGGTGAGGCGTAATTGAGCCAACATACGGAGAAACCGTCAGCGRTTATCAACAGGAATTTCAGACAAAGCATTTTCGAAACCGAAAAAAACGCGCTTCCATGCTGAGAAAAAAATTCAAAGCAGATTTCGTGCCTACCTGAACAGATCGTGATTCAACAAGGAAGGCGCAGCCAGGAATCGCTTATTGTTGTCATCATCCAAATTGGGTCAATTTTAACATTCCGCTAAACACAAACTTGATACTMTTGACCTTCAAATCGAAACCGTTGAAATACTCCATCAGGGGAGAATAAGAGGYAGGGCCAAATATGGCTTCCAAAGGATGAACAGGCATTTGCGCACAACAAGGACGAGAACTATGTGTCAGCGTGAGACTTCACGTGATTCAAACACCAACAGAAATATTCCTGATATTTCCCTACGCTTTGAGCAAAAGACGGCCTTCTCAAGTTTACYCAAGATTAAGTAAAACCAGATGAATCGTAATTTTTGCGATTGCGAGGGTATTAGCCTCGAGGCCTTGGAATTGTGCGTTTCTTATTTCTACCCGAAGAAATAGATGACAGTGAAACGTATAGAGTCACTTGGATGTATTCGTTGATCTGAACACTCTGGTTTCCCGCGCTGTCTCACTTGACTTTTTACCGATTTCTACCAATGAGGAAGTCGAATCCAGTGTTACTTATGACCAGGTGTCTTTAAAATTTAGGTCTCGAAGTTTATTCCATAAGGCATGAGGCAACAACCAAATTATGTCGTTGTTGGCTGAAGATGCTGATAACATRCTGTAGCGAATTACATGAAGCCTGAGTAGCGCTTTCTGTGCAGGTGGACAATTAGTGATATTTAATGCATTTATGGAACAAGTGGTATTATCTCATGTGAGTATTCAACGGCGGAGGGAATAATCACTGAATACATTTGCTATATTACATGCTGTAGATTGTAAAGTTTATTTGAATCATCTTTTACATACTTAAAAAAATAATCTACATCGGATTTACTGCCTATTCTTTATTGTTTTTACACTATCACAAAAATAGATACACTATGTAAAATTAGCCATGCAATTTCTCAGTAAATTCAATCAAYTGCATCCTTACACATGCATTTGTCATAAACTTTAAACTGTGTAAATTGGTGTTTTTTTAGTGATTAATAATCAAAAATAATTAGACACAGGAAAAGATCAAAGGAGAATAGGAAAAACTCTGAAAAAACAACCCGAAAACAAACTGAACTATTTTTGTTGTGTCAAAAATAGGCAGACGTAAGCCGTTCCACTAAGGCAAGAGGAGAAAGCTGGACACTAAAAGACAAAACGAATCCACTAAGTTTGAAAAAAAAACCCAATCTAGTGGGCACGCTCTACTGCATGAGGTGACACGGAGAGAGCTGGAAAGCACTGTGAAAGATAAACTAAAAAGGATAGAAGTCTGAAGAAACAAGGTCAAAGGTAAAAAAAAAATAACCCCACCCCACCTCTCAAGGGGAGRTGCTTCTAGCTAGAGAATCACCAGTGAAATGCAGTTAGTTATCGAATCTAGGATGATAGACTCGTTTTGGTAGGGTGTCATTTAAAAACATCATTTCTTTTTGAAACTAGAACCAGGGTTTGTTTAGTCATGAACCACAATGTACCACCACAAACCACCAACCAGGACACACTCGCAGTTCCTGATGATCAGGCCGGAAACATATGCACCCATGCACCAATACACCCCCTCGAATTTCTTTAGTTATCGTTGGCCAATAGTGAGCACAGGTTGGGATGGTCGTTGTTTYCACGTTGAGTGGTTGATTTGACCTGAAAGTAAACTAGTGTACCGCGATAACCTCTTGTAATGATAACATGTAGCCATTAAAACCTGGGTGGTCTGGAGAAGGCGGGAAAATTCGCACGTATCCGATCCGAAGAAAGCCAAGATTTTGAAAATATGAAATGTGATCACTCGTTCGTAAGATGTATTCTTGATAGCAAACATGTTASAGCCTTTTTCAAAGAATAGTGTTTATTATTACAGCGCGCAACATGGTAAATGAGACAAGGAATCAGTACTGTATGTATTAAAGATTAAAACTACGCCGGTGYTTTACTTACGTTTTTGATATCCGCCAATATGATTTTTAGTAACAGTTATGCGAGATTTTAAGAACTGTTTAAATTTTTGGTGGATGGATAAGAAAAATAAAAAAATTCAAAAGAATATTCGAGAAGACTAGATAAACCGAGACATTGAGCTCAATTTACCGAAAAAGGAGGAAAAACGAAAACACTAAGTAAATATCGGACAAACAAACAATCAAAATAGCTAAAGAAAACATGGAATAATAAGCCATTAACAAAATAAAACTCAGTCAAGGAGAAAAACTTCATTTTCATGCAGAAAKGGAAAAGGAAAACAAAAGAATTGAAACAGTAGATTTGCAAAAATACATTGCACGTATATATGTTTTTTCTTATTGAACTAAGTACGACAATAAAAAACGATCTCTAAACTAATTCCTACATAACGCTAGCCTAACGAGACACCCGTAGCCATCTTTACGATCAGATAAGCTTGATATGATTGCAAAACATGACATGGATCCAACATCAGAAGATATGAGATCTTTACCTGTTGAAGTAATGAGTCTGCTCGTCTTTGGGAATCTGTCTTTCTAGTGGGGGTAAATCCTTCTTGAACCTTAACTGTTAAAACACGGCTATCTTAAAGGATRTTGCTCGATTCACATGGCGAGCCGGGAGAGCTGTAAATTGGTTTAGAGTAAATATTCCATCATATTCTGCCCTTAAAACAGAGGCAGAAGTTGTAAAAAGAAACGCCCTGGAAGTTGATAGGATTTACATCTGCGGTTGGGCGACGACTTTGCAATTCTGCAAATTCCTTCAACTTTATTTCAATCGTACTTTCTTAGTTAATTGACTTGAACAAATATCTTCCTCCAAATAGGAAAAGTTGCTTTTTTCGACAAACGGAAGATTTGGTTAAGGAAAATATCGAACGTTATTATTTTTTTGTGATTCAGTTTTTGCGGGGACAAGTTTTACGGTTTTGAATCGGTGCTATAACTTGTACAAAGATTTTCCTTGAAAGCTATAAACTACATTCTTTTTTCGAAAAGCTGGTCCTGAATAACACCGCACAAAAAATGAGATATTTTCCAGCTTTATAGTAGCGCCAGTATTGATAAGTTTGTACAAGTAGTGCGTCATGGTACAGACAGACAGACAGACATCGAATAGTCACAACCTCAGATTTAATTAAGCTCGGTTAAGTCTGTTTAGGATTCGTAACCCATAAGGTCAACGAGAAAAAWGACCATTAAGCATAAAAGCTCCCAGACAAACCGTTGAAATCACTATCTCAGAGAATCACAGTCAAAATCGTATGACAAGATGTCTGTTATKTGAGAGTATCCATAGTGCAATGGGGTAATAGTCTCCGTTCGATACAGACAACTACTGGTCAATTCTCAATCCAAAATAATTGTAAATCTTGAAGGGATGTTAAAATATAATGATAGATATCTTACAGTAAAAGAGTTGGATCTATAGCTCGCTCGTGTAAAAAGATCTACAATGCGACCATGGCCAAATATAAATCGATTTCTCAACGATCGGGCCACTCTCACTCGGCGGCCTGTCCGGAAGTCAGATGGTCCATGTGACAAGGGCACCGGAAACTTGCCCTTCATTCCGCGGCATTTTCTCTGCTCTATATTGTATTATAAGTAGCTTGCGTGGGAGACAAGATTACTATACGAACCACAATACTCTGCGACTCAATTCTCTGAGTTGATGTTTTGACCAGTTGTGCAGAACACACCAAGGTATAATCAGGCACCACGCGTGTGGCTCAGGATTGGAAGCGAACGACTGTAWAACTAAACACCGCTGTCTTGTACGTTCATTCGTACGTTACTTCCTGTGAAGTGCGGAGTCTCTGTGCTTAGTAAGTCGGATGTTTGTGGTAAGATCTAAGGAGTCCTAACTGTCTACTAACCAGTCGAAAATTGACTGCTGATGTAACTTCCAAAGTGGCACTCGTTTCTTTAGACGAATTCTACCGATATTGTACTTCTTTTGAAAAACTACAAAGGAATGTCAATAATTGTTGTCTACTTGCTGAAACTGCTGAGCTAGGTGATTTCTATTTTGAATGAAGAGCGGTTGTTTTAGACGAGTGGAATTGATGGTTTCAACCCAGGAGGGTTCGATAACGCTTATGCTAACAATATCTAGGTAAGTGTATGGCGTAATTAGGTTATCAAATGAGGGTATGTATACATATAAAGCGAGTATGATACTCAGTCACTGATCTTCTCCATTGGGGGCTTTGAATAGACGGCTTCCAAGGGTTCAAGATTCGCATCTTCAAGGGTAGCAATTCGCACGCAATCAGAAAACGAAACAAGAAGCGGCGGTCAGCTTTAGACATAACATTATTTCAGTTATCTTGAATCGAAATGTGTTTGTCTAACAACACAAAGAATTCCGCTAGAATAAAAAAAAATTCAAAATGATCGTGTTTGGCGATATATTTTGTTTTGTGTTGGTCAACTATAATCTTAAAGCCGTCTCAGTGACCTGAATAGTCTGTCAAAGGCCATCACCGAGGATGTACTCTAGATATCATTTACCAGTATTATGGAACACTTCAATCATACCCTACAAGCTCTACTTTGTTTTCTGAGTGTCTGAGAAACGATATTACCGGTATATTAATGCAAGTCCATTGTTGCGTATTTGATTCAAACCACGAGGCCCGCTTGCCCGGTGCTCAGCCCTTCACAGAAACCATTACAAGYATTCTTGAAATTAAATTAACGCTAATTGATAATTTCTTATCAGTTAAGGATCAGTTTTTATACTTTGGATCGTGGATTTGTCTTGTTGAACAGGCTTTCGTTCTCCAGATTGAGTTACATCGATTAGCTTGTTCAGTAGCAAGTGTTTATTTTTACTGTGGCCTTTGGAACATTCCGTTTGGCTTTGAAGCCCGGAAAGTCTGTTCTAGATTTCCCAGAGCAACTTAATTAGATTTTGCGCTCACACCTCTTTCGCAAGCGCGCAAAATGACTWTAACTTTGTTTATTTACATCTATAATTGGCAATTTCGAAAAATTTAATCTTTAATTAAGACATCTCTCTTAAAAGTTGCCTATTAAAAAAAACGAAGATAAGCCTGATGACAAATATAAACTATGGTCTCGAAGACCGACCTAAGATACTGTGATCAGGAAAGAGCCCATTTTCGCATTTTGTTTTTGACATTTTGAGAAGGAATTTCTGGCAGTTTGAATTTTAGCACTTTGTGAAACTTCCGACATTTGAAGTGGTTGGATTGAAGCAATCTGACACTTCTTTTGCATGCCGAAATTACTTTGTAGTCTGTTTGCAAGGTATTTGTTCAAATGATGGCTAGCTTCAGAGTGCGGYATTTACTGGAAAATGGCTCAGTGTCCAGGCACATGCATTCTCGTTATTAATATTCAGTCCTGATGAASACATATTGTAATTCGTACAAGTCATTAAGTGATAACAGATATGAAAATTGGTATGTAACGCTTTGACAAGTTGGTACATCTTTTACTCCGACGAAGGACTAGCGTCCGAAACGTCAGTTTTTTCATCTTTTCACGGTGTATAATTTACCTTTTCATCATTACTGTTTCATTAGRAACACCGACGCAGCTCACACCAGTTTTTAGCTAGTTATATCTTTTTAAACCAATCCTAAACAGTTACACATTAGTTGCCGATCACCATCCGAAATTTGAGACTTTTAAAACTTTAACTTTCTTGGTGGCAGCTTACTGCTTTAATATATACATCACATAGACATGCTGTTTATARATGAAATGGCATGTCAGTCTGTCTTGTGGCGTTTAGTTCAACACAGTAAGTATATTGGCTGTAATAGTTCACCTATAGCTGACGGGTATTTATCACAGTTAGAACGGCACAAATTGAAATGTAGATTTAACAGCACGATAACATCGGTGTCGAAGTCAAATCAAAAATTAATTTTCATCCATGGAGATTATTTTTCGGTTATTTTTTCTTCATTGTGCCCCCCCCCCCCCCCCACTTATTGATATACTTAGGTATTTTGACATTAGAACAGATGGACAGCTTTTACCAGGTCACGCCTTTGATAGAGTTGCCGTTGTTTTTTTTTTTCGTATGAGATTTCTAGCAAAAGCTAGTCAAATCTTTTCAAAGACATAAACCCTCTGGCAACCGAAGATTTGAACAAAAAACGCACACACAAAAATATTGTTCCTATAACCTCTATAAGACTGCAATGAACCGGTCGATGTTGCAGTGAACAAACCACAAGAATTTTGTTCGATTTTTTTTTTTGTACGAAAAGCAAATTGCCAAGTTTTCTTTGCATACTCGTGTTTACAGCAAGATTTTATCCATTCCAAAGTGCTGCGAACAAATCTTGACTTCTAAAAAGACAGCTAAATCTTCTCGGAGTTCGATGTAAATAACTTATTTGACACGAACAGTATACCATACACTAATGGCGATGGTTGTTTTATATAGTGACATATCATACAAGTGTTTATAGTTATGCAGTAAACTTCAGACCTATTTCCATTTACCTGTCCATCGCGTCCTATTGATAAACCTTTCTATGTACATAGATTTGACGTCTATTAGGTCCACAAAGCGGGCCTTCAATCTAGCAATACCCTGCAAAAAGGAGCCGACAGGCTACCTGTGTAAACACCAATATCAAAGCATTGTTTGTAGTTGGACTCAACTTAGAAACTTAGAAAAGTGATTCTACTTTGTCGGCAGCTTAGAACAGAACGATTAGAGATACTTTTATCGCGGGGAAAAGCTGTTAGTTTATTTTAATGAACGAGATTTACATCCCTAAAGACGACGGAAATGAAACRAATGACCCTAAACTAAAAGTTCGACTTTAGAGACTTTGATCAACAAGAAAAACTTYATTAATTCGTCGCGAGAAGTTGATTGGATTTTTAGTGTTCTTTGTACGATTACACTACAGTTTCTTTGTTTTCGAGAAAAAAAGACTGTTTTCGCAGTTGTAAAATAATAAAGAAATGAATAGCTAAGGTTTTTGGTTCATTAGCAGTTTTTATTAGGAACGTGATTAACGGCAAGGGCACTGCCTTTTTCGTCGAACCGAGTAGCTTCCGATTTCCGTTCCGCTTCGCCTGGATGAAGAATAAGAATAAGAGTGACGTGATCTTTGATATGCGTGTGAATAAGACTCAAAACCGCTAGCCTTTTTCAACTAATTTGAATAGATTGTTATTAAATTTAGACCTCATTAGTAAAGCAGAGACTTCGAAATATTCTTTAATTGCAAAGGACACGCTAGCTTTGTTTTAAGGCCAATGATAATTGTATCCAAGCAAAACCCTGGTGTTGGAGTGTATTTTTTGTGTGATGTTGAGTCTGTTACTACAATAGCTCGACTCATTTTAAAGCATAACTTAATTCGTCAACAGCATTTGAAGGCTGAAACAACGCTTGATTGATAGCTGCTTACAACCGGTTCCTCTTAGAACCCCTGAGGCCACATTATCTATATTCATGAGCCAATAACATATGAGGCCATCTACTCGCATTCTTGACTCTCTCTCGCTCCTCAAAACCGCAGTCGATGAGAAAGGCATTTCTGCCCGCGTTACGAAAATCATCATTTATTGAAAAACCTAAGACTCTTTGGATTGACTTTACAAGGATTCTCCCTGAATTTTGAAGGTTTTACAAAGTTTTTCAAGAATAATGATCAAGATTTTTTGAGGCTTGAAAATATCTGAACAGTCACTCTTTAATTTCGGATAACTTTGGACCACAAGTGGCTCACGACTTTACGAGAAATTCGACTCTGTGGGATCATATTTCACTCAAAATGGTTAATATATAAAGGTAAGACATTTGATTCTTAATAGTTTTTCAAACATCACGACGTAGTTTTGTTTTGTTGTTTGAGCTTAGATTTGACCGTGGTTTGAAAAGTAATTCAGTAGACATTCGTCGAGTTCTTTATATACCTCCAGCTTAAGATACGTAACAACTTTCTGCAATTCTATAAGAAAACTCTTAATTTTGAAATGGTTGATCCCAAAAACGATCAAAAGTTAGCCAACTTTGACTTTATCAAGACTTTTGTTTCAAACGAAAACGCGTCTAAGGTCTTTATAAAATTCTTGTTAGACTTGATCCAAACCGCAAGAATGCCTTTCTAAATCTCCCAAACTACATCTGCTTTTTGATCAAAATTGATGTTTTATGAGGAAGAAATCAAAAGAAAAGAGCTTTTTACGACTTAATGGTAATTATATTTAATTAAAAAGAATAAAGAGGCCATCTTATTTACCACTTTTTCATCACTTTGCTGTCGCTTTCATTTTATCATCGACCTCGTTCCCCCAGTGTTTGACACTAGGTGTATCCAAACATAAAGACGTACATGACAGCCTCAAACTATTTGTCAAGACAACTACAGTAATAAAAAGATAAGTTAATTAGTAACCACGATCGAGAGTTAATCGGCCCAGCTGGAACAGCACGGATTATAAATGAGCATCGTACGGGAATTCATACTCATGCATTGCCCTGAAAATTATTTTAAATCTCATTGCATTTCGTATAGAAATGAGTTTTCAGAATTATCGAGTTATTTTCTTGGGGAAAATTTTTTTGAAACATATAGCTAAAGTTTGTGACTAATTTAAAACCAATTTATTSCTGACTTTTTACGTCACTACGCGCCCAAACCTCTGCTCAACGCCTCGCACATCCGATCGATTTACACGATATTTTACCCAGGTTTAATCGAACGATATTAGAAAGGTTTGTCCCTATAACTTTTGGAAACCGTCACTGAGCGGTTTGGAGCAAACGATAGCGTCTTTAGCTACAACAATAAATATTGGACATCAGCACTAAAGTTCTGATTGAATATTAAGAACTAATGTTATGCCTAACTGAGACCGCGGTCATTTGCTTCAAAAAGAATTGGGAATTTTTTTCCTGATTATTACTATTGCACAATGGGTATGAAATCCAAGTTTTCCAGTCGGAAATGTCCTCGGAATTTGTATAGATAATGATCAAAAGAACAACGGTGATATATCTTTTTCTGTCTTCATCAATCATTCCAGCGCCTATGCCAAAGTAARCATATTGATCCGCTGGCTTGTTGGTACACTGTTGGTCTAAGCAGACTTCATTCAAACATTCAATATTTAGCCTTGTTGAATCGGCACAAACAGATAACAGTTGTGTTACACGGATTCGAGATTTTAATCCCTTCTTAAGTTCTTTTTGCCTCTTATTTTGGTGTCGTGAGATATATTTGTCAGTTAATGAATACCGTCCTTTCAACCGAAAAATTTCCAGTTGTGGTTAAGCCTTATTCTTGAACTCGACCTTAAGTCAAAAAATAATTTCTTCGGACTCACTCAAGAACTAGTCATCTTTGTTCAAACACTTTAAGGAATACTTTATTTAGCCTTACAAAAAAAACTTATTTTGCCGCTAAAATATTAAATAGGTTTATTCAATGCACATCAACTCTACCTCGACGAGTGAAGGTTCGCCATTTTGATTAACTGTTGTGCATAGCTGGTACTCCTAAATAAACTGATTGTGAGTGCACTAGGCCAAGGCTAAACGAGGAAACATGTTTCCAGAAACATGTTTACCGCGCGCATGTTTCCTCGATGTATCCCAGTTTAGCCACATGCGAAACATTGTTGCGAGCAACAAATTTTGCTTCCAAGACGCAAAAAAATGTTTTTCCTGTGCGGCAGAAACATTTCATGTTTCCAAGACGCATGGAAACATTGTTTCCCGATGTTTCCTGATTGTTTTGCCACCTTAGGAAACATTTAGGGAAACATGTTTCTGAAACATGTTTCCTCGTTTAGCCAGGGCCTACAACTCTACGGATTGCGTGTGCTGTGCAAATAGAGTGTACACGRATAAAACCTCCCAGCCCAGCATGTGGGACAGTGGAGTGATGACTAACCAGAATCTCACGTAGTGGAGGAAGAATTCATTTCTTTAGTACACGATGAAAACCTGACCAATATATAGTCTCCTAATGAAATATAGCTATGGTTCAGTGAAATGTTGTTGTTAGTTTTAGAAAGATTTATACTGGACTAGTTTTAGTCCTTGAGAGAAAACTGAAGTTTCGGACTTCAGAATCAGGCCAAATTAGCACCTACTTTGCGTGCATAAACGATTACAGTAAAAACAAACATGGAGCATTAATATTATAACCACTGTTACCACCATCAACAACAATACGATATTAACGCCAACRAAATAAAGTTTACAACTTTGCAAAGATACCACAATCTGTAGAGTTGTGTGTACGGATTTGACACAGCAAAATGACAAACTGGCACAAATTTACCATCGCGTTTGTCATCAAACACAAACACACTACAACCCTATGGTCAACGAAGTTAGAGSTAATCCCTTCCAATCCCGTCTCAACAATTGTACTATTGGATACATGCTTCCGTTCTTTTCAAGAGGTGCTATTAAAAAAACTGCCGGCTTTGAATTACATTCTTACATACTTCTGGTCACCTAAGATGAAGAATACAACAATATCTCCGAGATAAGTTATTTGTACTATGTAGTTATTACATACTTTAAGCAAATTGTGTCATTTTTCAAAGCAAGGAGATAATCTCTCTGTCAARTTGAAGATTGTACCACACTCAGTACAACATCGCATGGATCAGTTCTGAAGCTCAGCTCAAACTGACTTGGACCCCACCACTGGACAATTTATGCCGCATTTTCAGTTAAGACTTTATTCTTTTTGGAAAACCTCTTTCGTGGTCGTCCAGTTTTAAGGTTAGCATTGCAATATTTATTAATTAGATACGGCTTCTAGAACACAGAACTATTGGTCACGTCGCATTTCTGCACAAGTGCATTCGTGTGTAATTGATACTAGACTGACTCGGAAATACAATACAGATTTCTTGGAAAAAAAGAACACTTTCTTATGAAAAATTAAGCTAATCTTAACTTGAAATTTTCAAATTTTTGTTTGATTAATTGGCAAAGACAGGAACAGTTCCTGGCTATAGATTATATTATTGTTCATTAAACATGGTATGAAATATTCGTCACGGAATAAAAACTGATACAAAGAAACACTGATCTCTCCTACGAGGCATCCATTTTTTTATCTCAAAACCCTCTCTTCAAAAGACTCTAAGCCGAGATCCTAAAATCATATATTTGTTRATTTTGCTCCTTGAATGAATAAAGATATCATTGTTCTAGCTGAAGAAGTAAGGGGATTATGGAAGTAAGGTATATCGATAGTTAACGACCAATCTATCATCTGCGCTTGTCGATTCCTTTCAAGTGGCTCGCAGTCTCTTGGCCCTCGACCAGTTTTGTTAAAACGTTCACAAACACAATCAAAAAAAATTGCCATTAAAATTCAAGCTAAATTGAAATAGAAAAATTGATTTTATTTCAATATCTTTTTTTAAGAAATGCCGTTTTCTGCGTTAAAGGGACTGTATTAAAAATGTGTTACATTGACAGAGATTTTTCAAGTGTAGTTAGGACGAACATATGCTGCATTTTTTTGGCTTATAAACCAACCCGTTTCTGCAGTTTTCATACATAATGTCCAACCCACCTAAGTTATCTTTTCCGGAGTCGATCATAAGAATTTTTTTGTGGCAATTTTCTGTTTAGATTTTGGTTTGTAACCGTTTTGAAAAATTCGGATGTCACGTGATCGTGAACAAAATCACGCGGTCTGTTGTGGTTTTGCTTCTTCGCCCACTCAAAATTATTGCTGTTTTTTTGCTTGAGAAATATATYCTAGAAGCAAAAATGATTTATTTTTAAAAGTTTTGATAATTTCCATGCACACAACAGTAAATATCGGTTTTTGTTTATAAAAATACATTAAAGCATATTTTCTGGRCTAAAAAGATGATTGATAATTGTCATTGGCACGATATTCATTATTTTGACAGCATATTCCAAATCGCCCACTTTATTGATCCCTAAAATATAAAATCAGACGTCCATTTTCGCTCTCAGATTGTTTTCTTTGCCACTGGCGTTAATAAACATTTCCTCTACTTCACAAACCAAACAACCCATCACTTTAGTGCACCGTTTTTGATTGAACTGTAATGTCACAGTCTGGACTTAATTGTCCTAGCACCGGAGAACTGTCTTTTTGATTACTTTTGAAATTTAAGTAAAGACAGAATGTGCTTTATARGTTGGCTGAAATAATACAGTCCTTTAGAGGAACTGTGGTTGAACTTCACCTTAAGGTGGAACAATTAAGGTACTAAAGGGGCTCGATAGTCTATTCTTTGTTAAGGACAGTTAGGCGCCATCTAAATAAGCAGTTAGATACCGTATCCAATGGAGTTTAGGAAATAAAAACAGATAGAAGAAAGAAATTGTTTATAAAAAAATAACCACTAACGGCTAAAGAGGCGGAATAACCTGATCTGCTTTYAGTTGACGAGGCAAGGCTTTGAACTTTTCATGTAAGTAAACGTTGCTTGTCCATAAGTGCTATTTTAAAAGATTTATGTAATATTTTTAAATTCCAGCTTTATATGCTTTCTTCAATATTGGTTAAGTAGGTGAAAACGTGCCTTGAGAGTCAAATTTTAAATAACTTTTCCCTTTTACTTTTTAWGTTTAAAAGTGTCTTGTCAAAAAGCATTTGGATTCGTGAACTCGTCAAAAAAGAAAAAAATGGAGAAAATAACACTTTAGTTGTAATACAAAGGTTTCAAAAAAAATCGATATGCCTGCATTTAGTCATTTTTATCAACGCTTCATTGTATTCTTTGAACAAAAGAGTCGTAATTTTGTTTTGTTTTGTCTTTTATTTACATGCTTTTGTCATTCAATGAATAACTCCATATTTTTCACTTGTGAAATTACTTAGAGGAAGAGACGAAACAGCTCTTTTGTCATTTCCGACACATTTTTCTTAACTTTTTAGTTAAGTAAAAACTCCTTTAGGTAATTAATTTTTCTATATTAACTGTTTTCATAAGATTGTAAAAAGAAAACTTTTGCTAATAGAGGTATTCACACCAACGAAATAGTTTTTTAATCCGAAATGTAAACTTCTTAAAAAAATGTCCAAGTATTTTAATTTCGCTTCATTTTTTTGTTGCATATGCTAAATAGACACGAATATTTCATTATGAAGCAACTTGGAAAGTAAACACGTTTTTTTTTATGTGTCATGATATGCTCTAAAAAGCCAGAAAAAKAGCAACCCCATGACTGACATGTTTACTTAGCATAAAAATAGCATAGCCATCCATGACGACTTTTAGACGCCTCATCTTCAAATTTTCCCTCCCTACCATATCGGAAATTAAAGATTAGTATTAATGTACAAATTCTACTGGCATAACGTTACTTTCCTCCGCTTTTATGCGGTGAATGACTGAATTTCTCCGGCATGCGAACGACTTCCGGAATTAGCATTTGAATGGCTTGTTTCCATGACAAAACGTCAATTAGGTTGTCTGTCATATATTCGTCATGGTGCAAGGAATGCTCAAATCCCTCGGGGATACTGGAGGTCATTTGTTCACTGCTCAAAATTTCATAATATGTCAACTGAGCGTTTCTAGAATGGGCAAGTTCACAAAGCGGTCTCAAGTGCATTTGTAGCATTTCTAATTAACGAAACTCACGAATACTTGATAATTTTAGTATGAATTGGGGGAGATTTAAGGCATCTAAAACCAATTCAATCAAGTTATATCGCCAAGGTGAAAGGTATATAGAGAGACGAAATGTGTTTGACAAATACCTTGTTAATTGCTTGAAAAGTTGTTGTGATTTGATTAATGACTTTGGTTGTTTTTTTCTCTACTTTCAGCTCTACCTAAAGTACTTTGAATTGACTTCCAAGATGCGACGTAACCGCTTTGTTTTGACGTTTCTCATRCTTTTGAGTGGACTCTCAAAAGTTAGCGAAAGTAAGCTCATAAAGATGCCGAGACAAAGATCAAGCAATCAAGCGGACGCTCGCAAACCTATTTCTGTAATYAAAGATGTTGTACCTACATATACTCTTGAATATCGATCACAAAACCCAAAAGAAGTKAAATTTACCAGTGGAGGAATTTATCAAGCTTCTATCGAAGAAATAACTCCGTTGGAAACTAGAATAAAATGTGATTTAAAAATGGGAGTTTACTCACAGAACGTCAAAGTTGATTTTATCATCACTCGTGGAAACGAACAAGGTGCCTTCAGAGTCAAAACTCGCCGGGTTACAGACTTTTACTTCATGGATATAATCAATGTTAAACGGTTAAACAGAGAAAGTAATCCAGTTTATGAACTAACTGTGGTAGCTCAGGATTCTGCTTCGAAGAGAACACTAGACACCACAAAAGTAAACATTAGTGTGGCGGATTCTAACGACAACCGGCCAATATTTTTGGAAAAGAACTACATTGTTTCTCTTTCCGAGGACACGGCCATGCATACATCGATTGCTAGAGTGCAGGCTGTTGATGCTGATTCTGGTCCAAATGGATTGGTTTATTTTTCATTCAGAGAAAAAACTACACATTTTGCTATAAATCCCACTTCAGGAGTTGTTACTGTTACTCGAAAGCTTGATAGCACAAGGAGCAAAGTGCACCGACTTACAATTGTAGCTCGTGATAGAGCTTTAGTCAAGCCGAAAAGTACGAAAAGCGGAAAGCTAATCATAAAAGTAATTCCTGTGAACCAGTTTTCACCTGTGATATCTATCRAACAACAGCTGTCCGGTATTGATGAAGGAATTTCTGGGGTTGTTTATGCAACGTTGTCAGTGACTGATAATGATAAAGGAGTCAATGGTCATATCGATCGAGTGCAGATTACATCAGGAAATAATGATGGGGTATTTGGGATTAAATCTCCAACGAGAGATAGCAATAATTTCACCACTGACTTGATGATTGTAAAGCCATTGGATAGAGAGAGTGCTCCTTATGGCTACAACATCACCATCACTGCTTTTGATGCTGGGTCACCAAGAAAAAATAGCTCCATCTCACTGAGGGTCTTTGCTAAGGATGTCAATGACAATAACCCTGAATTTGTCCAGCAAAGTTATACTGCCAAGATATCTGAGTTAGCTCCACCTTTTACAACTGTTGTATATGTTTCAGCAACAGACAAAGATRCTGGAAATAATGGAGAAATTTTGTACTACATTACAAAAGGCAATGATGGAGGAAAATTCAAGGTCAATTCTGTTACAGGCCAGGTGTACACAACTGGATATTTAGACTTTGAAAGTAAGCAAAGTTTTGATCTTCAAATTGCAGCTTTGGATGGAGGGTCTACTCCATCTCGACGGTTATCGCATGTCCAAGTTTTTATTCAAGTTGTCGATGCCAATGATCATGATCCAGTCTTCAAAGAATCATCGTACAAGAAGGATCTGTATGAGGACTTGACTGCTGGCACTAGTGTCCTATCTGTTAGTGCTAAGGATAAAGATTTCAGCAGCAATGGAGAAATTCAGTACAGCATTGCAAATATAGAACCTGTGCCATTTTCTATTGGAGCTAAAACTGGTATCATAACAGCTACCACTAATCTAGACAGGGACAAAGGACTTCAAGAAGTTATTCATCTCAAAGTGAGAGCCTCAGACTTTGGCTCTCCCATGCGAAGGGAGACTGAGACAATCATAAAGTTTAAAATCCATGCGATGAATGACAATCCTCCAATTCTGAAACAGCACAATTGCAATGTTAAGCTAGATCGTGATGCTCCTCCTGGAGTGCTGATTGCAACATTACAAGCTGTAGATGTTGATGTTAGTAAACAAAAGCAAAGTCTTGCCTACAGGTTTACATTTGGCAACACAGGAAACACCTTCAGKCTTGACAGTAAAACTGGTGAGTTGAGGACTAGTAAAACTCTTTACAGTGCACAGACAGAGTACAATCTCTACATCAAAGCCTTTGATGGTGTACAGGACTCCCCCGATAGCCATCCAGCTATTTTTAAAGTTCGAATTGTGAGTGGTCGAGAGGCAAGAAAGCTTCAAAATCATGTCCACACTAGTTGCAGTGCAGTTTCTTCACATTATACCAATGCTCTGAAACAAATAGAAGAACAGAAAAAATTTAGACCGATTCCTCCTGTGACTAGATATCGGGTTAAGCTTCRCAACAGACATGCTCCTGTGTTCCGCTCCCATAATCAAAGAGTATATATAAAAGAGAATGCAGCAAATGGCACAGTACTTGCAAACCTGGTAGCCACAGATCAAGATAAAGGATATAATGGACTTGTGCTGTATTCAATTGTTAATGGTGATATTGACAGCGTTTTTGGCATTAACATGTACACTGGAGAAATATTTACTAGAATGGGCCTGGATAGAGAAAATAGAGACTCATATACATTGAATATCTCAGCCTCTGACTGCGGCAAAAGACACAAAACAGCATACACCACTCTGAAAGTTAACATCCTAGATGTTAATGACAACAACCCAGTATTTATCAAGCCTGAATATGATGTCAGACTACCAGAGAATGTTACTGTTGGACAGTCTGTCATCCATGTCAGTGCTGTTGACCAAGATGAGGGTTCCAATGGGAGGGTAACTTATCATCTAGTAAGTGATTTTGATGGTAAGTTTAGAATTGACCAGTCAACAGGTTTGATTACTGTTGCTGCTCCTCTTGATTATGAAGAGAGATCAAGTTATTCCATTGAAGTGCAGGCCCTTGATGATTCCAGTGATGACCAGAAAGAAGGCCGCGCGGTTGTGCACTTGACTGTTCTTGATGTCAACGACAATGCCCCAATAGCCAAGCCAAACCAATTCAATGTGTCTATACCAGAAGATCTTCTGGTTGATGCAGTAGTTACAAGTATTTTAGCCGTGGACCGGGATTCAGGGAAAGGTGGRGAAATCATGTATTCGTTTGAAAAACGAACTAGGAAGTTCAAGATCGACGCAGAGAGCGGAGTAATAAGACTGCGACGAAGATTGAACTTTGAGGTGCAGTCGGTTTACAATCTCACAATTACTGTCTCGGATATGGGATCCCCAGGGTTGTCTTCCAAGGTTTATGTTATTGTTAATGTACTTGATGTAAACGAAAACTACTTGAAACCTGTGTTTACAGGCGGGAAAGTCCTTAAAGCTGCTGTTTACGAGAACTTGGAAGCAGGAACAGTAGTTTTACATGCCACGGCAACGGACAAGGACTCTTGGTACGTGAAGTACGCTATCATTGATGGTACAGGGGTGGATAAGTTTGTTATTGACCCCGATACGGGTGCGGTTAGAACCACGCAGAGACTTGACCACGAAGAAGCGGATCACTACTGGCTGACTATACAAGCAAAAGATGGCGAAATTCGTCCCTTGTTTACCAATATTCCAGTGCTCATAGAAGTACTGGACGTCAATGACGAAGCACCGTACTTCAAGCCGTTGATGTACTATCCATCGGTACCGGAGAACCAACCTGCAGGAACAAGTATCCTGAAGCTAACGACCATCGACCCTGACTCGGATGGCTCAAAGCTGATTTACACCATAGTCAAAGGCAACGAAGATAACATCTTTACCATTGATCGAAAGACTGGGTTTATCACAACCGTAAAAGAACTCGACAGAGAGTCTGTCAATGAACATATGCTCAGTGTAATGGCAACGGATGGTGGCATTCCCCCTAAAAGCGCCACTGTCAGCTTTACGGTGAAAGTCACAGACGAGAATGACCAGTCCCCAGTATTCACAGAGTCTCAGTACGTAGCCACTACGATACCCAGAAGCTCTAAAGACTCACCCTCGGAGGTGTTCCGGGTTCTTGCTACAGACAAGGATGAAGGGTCAAATGCAAATCTGGATTACTCTATAGTCGATGGCAACAAGCTCAAGAAGTTTTCGATAAACGCCAATACGGGGATAATGTACTGTGACACTGAATTGACCGATGGTGAATCGTATGATTTGACAGTCAATGCTGCTGATAATGGGAAACCAAAGAGATCATCTAATGTTACTGTCATTATTGATGTTGTCGAAAGTAATCCTCCAAGTCCAAGCACCCCTGCTTTCTGGGAGAATCGCTTCACAGGGGATATAGCTGAAGACAAAGAAGTTGGTAGCTTTGTGGCGGCATTAGGAGCAGAAGATCTTGACAACGACCTAATAAGTTTCTCCATTGAGTCAGGCAATATTGGCAACAAATTCACTATTGAAAGACTGGGAGGYTTTGTTACAGTTGCTCAAAAACTGGATCGTGAAGAGAGGAGTTCTTATACTTTGGTTGTAAAGGCTTCGGATAATCACAACTCGGCAACAACACAGCTTGTTATCAATGTTTTGGATGTGAATGACAATGCGCCTCAACCAGAGCGACGCGAGTACAGGGCAGACGTGTCTGAGGATGCTCCTGTAGGGAAACTTGTTACCACTGTAAAAGGTAAGTTGTTTATATAGTTATTTGTAGGATGATGCTATGGTTGTTGATGGTGATGGTGGTGGTGATGATGATGATGATATGATGGTGATGGTGATATGATGGTGATGGTAATGGTACTGATGATTGTGATGGTGATGGTGATATGATGATGGTGGTGGTGATGATGGGGATGTTGTAGTGGAAGATTATTACTATTAATGATTATATTGATGATTAATGGTCATCAAATAATCATATRTTATAATTCTTTCCATCCAGCAAACGACCCCGATGCAGGTGTGAACGGCGAGGTAGAGTACTCAATCGTAGGCTCCTCAAAACCCAAATCAGCATCCCTTTTCAAACTCGACAGCGCTTCAGGCAAGATTCTAACTACTGCAGTCTTAGACTACGAGGACATCAGAGAACACGTGTTAATGATCAAGGCGTCCGATCGAGGAAGCCCCAAGAAGGCCACTTTATTCTCTCTAGTAATCTCAGTCTTAGACGTGAACGACCATAAACCACTCTTCGTCCAACCACTGTATGACTCAGAAATTCATATCACTTCTAAGATTGGAACTCCAGTACTCAAGGTTATGGCCTCGGATATGGACGATGGCACCAATGCCAAACTTAAATATACCATTGTTGAAGGAAACGCTAATGGTTCTCTGTCAGTGGATCAGAATTCTGGTGTTGTGAGTGTCAGTAACAAACTGAATCCAAGTATCAAGGAATACACGTTGAAAGTCCAGGCAGCTGATGGCGGGAAACCTTCACTTGCCAGTCAGACTACAGTCAAGGTAAAGCGTGATTCAGTTGAACCCTAGAACTTTTCTTTTTCTTTGAGGTTTAGAGAAAAAGTGGAATTATGATTGAATGACAGAGGTGGAAGGAATATGGGAAAGAAATGGGAATGAAAGGGATGCCGAATCCTACTTCATGTCCAATCAAACAATTTATTTCCTTTGATGGTGTCGAGATTTCAATTTTTTTATTTTTCAATTCTCTTTCTGAACTTTTCATTTTTATTATTTTTTGTTATTTCGAATTTAAGTCCCGTTTYCCCCTCCTAAATAGGTGAAGGTCCGTGGTGTGCTTGAGAGCTTTTCATTCGATAGACCAACATACCGAGCAAGCATAGCAGAGAACACCCCATACGGACAGGCTTTGGTCAGGGTACTGTACAATGGAATCATGCCAGTATATGAAATAGTCCCTTCTTCAAGCCCTTGTTGGAATTACTTCCTTATACAACGTCAGTCTGGCGTGGTTATCAACAAGGTACGAAGATTTTTATTTGGGGAGGAGATGGGGTAAGGGGGGAAGAGGGGTGTATACTAGTTGGGTGTGGGTGTTGAGATGGGGTGCAGTTTTTTCTGGGAACTGAAAGTACCCGGTACGTCAGTGATTAAAATCAACGTTTTTTATTGCTATTTTTGTTAAGACAATTATGGAAAAAATAAGATAAATAGTTACGCATGTTCTCTTTATAAGGCCCTTGATATTATTTTTCACAAACACGGACGTATTTACCGAAGCTAAATGACAGGCTGAATGCAGGCACAAGCATAACGCAAGTCCTAAGATTAGATTTCTTGCTCAGCCGTCTGCTTCGTGCCTTCACTGGCTTATGATTTCTTATCAATGCACAAGTACAAGACCTAATAAAATAGGACACAAAAATCGTGTGTATACTATTAATAATCGACCTGTTAATATCCAGACTCCAAGAAGTCTGCGTTATTTTGGTCATGCCGTGCTGTTGATCCTATGTCGTTTTCCATCCTCAACTGTTGCTGTATTTTGCTCTTAATGTAACTTGCATTCTTATTTTTTTGTCTTACCCGACCAAGGCTTTAAGCCTGCATTGTACAACTTAGCATTTTCTGGCAAAATAGTCATTAGGAAAGGATTTTCTTTCCCAAAGGTTAAAAATAGCCCGTTGCGTTTGTATATTTGTGCACGGAAGGAAAGGCATGTCAGAGATGATGCCTTTTGGACCTAAACACATTAAGATTGGATTGGAAACATCATGACTTTTCTTTATTTATTATCGCTTTGAATACCAAGAGAATGATGGTTTTATAACGCAGTATTACAGCACAGTTTGAATGCTTTATATCTCTCGACCGAATGACCATTTTGAGATAAAGGACCTTCCATTCGAGCTAAGCCTCTTAACTCTTCTTCAAGTTGGTTAAAAATTGGTTAAAAATGGAAACCAAAGGTCGGTCATTAGTCCAGTCTGAGCCCATCGCTCTGTATTGTAAATTCACACTCGCCAGTCAACGTCCTGGATTACGTTGACTTATTTCTTGAATATCAGAAATCCTTGCTCATGTTAAAGAAGCTCAACCTGTGATTCCATTAGAATAAAGTTATCTTTTGGAAGAGCATTGTTTTGTTATAGTTTTTGTGGCTGTTGAACTATTTCAGCGGTAGATGTAACACCGAAGGAAAATAACTAAGTTTATTGTGTATGCCATTTTCTCTGCAAATCTTTTTGTTTATTTACTTCGATTCAGAATTCAAATCCTRGAGATCATTTCCTATCCACATAAGCCTGTAATTACTTTTACATTATTGCCTTCATATTTAATTAGGTCAAAGGTTTTTCTTTTACAAAGAATTTCTAAGATAGTATTATCTTTTTCCTAAGATAGTATTATCTTTTTTCACGAAAGTCGGATTATTCCTAAAACCTGAATACCAAGTCTGCAGAGTTCGAGCCGTTTGTGTAAACTTTAGAATATCTGTACTTAGARTGAATTCTTCCGCAATAAGAAGTGTCCGTGTGAAAGAATTATCTCCTTAATCTGTCTTTGATCTTCCTATTACTTTTTATCAGAAATCCTWTTCTTACGCCCACACAAAAATGCTGACGCCCAATAAATCCTTGCCCATCTTATCTTAACACACGAATTTCACCAAATCTGTTGCCAAAAACCAAGTTGTTCAACTGATTAAAAAATTATTTTCCGCACAATTTTGCGGGGAAAATCTGTTTGTAAAACGAAAAGGGTTTTTTWAAATTCGTCCAGCCTTTTTCTTGTAATAGATGTCAAAATAGGTGTTCGCTAAAGTTATTTGCCTAACTCAAGTCAAAACATCGATTTGATATTAAAAACATTCCAGTGGAAGCCTCTAAATGGTTTCTGACCTTTACTAACCTCTGCCTGAACATGTCTAGAACTTAGATCAGCCGAATTACATTCCTAAACGGCATTTTCTGAAGCAATTCTTCGTGCTTATTCCATCTTCCATCTCTAAATTGATTGGCGTCTTTTCTCTACAGTCATTTTGTTTATACTTCAACGTTTATGTGTCTGTAATATATAGTGATTGTGCAATTGGATTGATCCTTCGTTATTCTAGTTTATTTTTACATTCTTTTTAGTCAAACAGTGGAATTACCYCCAAATAAATACAGTTCAAGAGTGATGTCAAAGTAGCTCTTCCAAGAATGCTGCCTATAAATAGCCGTCTCCCAATCGATTTGCTTTCGATGTGGCAGTTTTTCACGTTGAAAGTCCTCACCACAAAACCACTAACAAACTTCAAATTTATATTAAAGTTGTACTATTAACTTAAACTGGAGCCAAATCCCAATTGAATAATTKAGTTTATTTTGCTAATTGCCATATGTGTGGAAGAATGTCTGTCGTAATTGGCTCAGTCAGGGATTTGGAGTGAATCATTTCAACGCTTTGATTTGACTCAGTGGGCGAAAACATTAGTTTCATACCGATAATGACGAGTTACGGTCAGATGATTGTCGATGTGTTTCGCTATTGTCAACRGTTTCCTTGAACGAGGATTAGTAAAGTTCAAAGGGTAGAGAAGAAATGCTTTAATCTTTCTCTATCTCCTAATCAGAATGTAAAAGAAATTTCGAGTAAAAGAAAAAAGAAAAACATACGATTCCATTAACTTGTAAGTGGGTTGTGATGAGATCAGTGTCCTTAGGGTACTGTGAACTGTTCGGTTCATCTCATTAATCCTGTTTTGCAAGGCCTTATTGATTTATTATTTCTCGTCAGGTTGCATTTGACGCAGAGGCCATCAGCCATTGCAAATTTCAAGTWCGYGCCTCCAGTATYGACGGTCAGCAGTCAACAGCAATGGTGGATGTCCAGATCTTGGATCAGAATGACAATCCTCCTACCTTTGCGCATGACAAGTTTATTGGTCACGTGGTAGAAGGTTTCCCGGCAGGCTCTCCTGTACTKGACGCYAAGGGTAMACCACTTGTCACYAATGCAACAGATATCGATGTCAGTGAAAGTGGTAAACTCACGTATGAGATCGTTGAACTAAGTGCAAGAAGTGCGTTATCTATTCATCCGGCTACAGGCGCCATTACTACCAACAAGGTAATGGTGTTTTCACATTATATTTGTTATTTCATGGGTTGCAGTTAACGGTGTTCGGGGTTGCAAGGCTAGGAATAGCTGCCTGCCAATGGCCACAATGCTGGTCCGCAATTTTAATACTGCCAGGTCAAAAAAACTTTTGAACTGCCAAAATGAAAATAAAATGGTAGGGAAAATTTGCTTCACTAAAATTATTTGCCCTGCCAGAAATAAAAAAACCTGTCTGGACATTTTTATTTGTCTCGGGTTTGATTTCTGGGCTCAGCATCACATGTATTCTACGAGCAGAGTCTCCTGTGAATAGAGGAGTATGTTGGGTCTTTTCCTGTATTTCAGGWTTTTTCTTTTCTCCATGTTCTTCCTCCACAAAGCTCAACCAAACAGTAGCAAAAGGAATACGTCATTATCAGCATCTTACCTAACTCTAACATTTATAGTTTATTATTATTTTCTCTTCAGGTACTGGACTACGAAACTACAGCCTCATACAAGTTCAAGGTCAAGGTTACCGATTCAGGTAGCCCAAGACTCTCTACATTCACGGATATTGAAGTCAAAGTCATCGATGTCAATGATGTTGCACCAGTATTCTCCACCCCAATGTATCATGCCACCATCTTTCTCCCAACCTTCCTTGACACAATGGTTGTTAAAGTAAAAGCCAAAGATGACGACAGTGCAGCGCTGACGAACCTTACGTTTTCATTGGCAAAAGATGACGTAATGGRAGAAATGTTCCAAGTCGGTGTCTTCAGTGGAGATGTTACTGTAAGAGACCCTTCAAAGATGRGACAAGGGAAATACTTGTTGAATGYCGTTGCTAGCGATGGGAACTTGACAAGTCGTGCCCAAGTAGACATCACTTGCAGAGRTCTTCCTGTCAACGCATTACAGTTTAGAGAACCCAACTACACAGCGTCTGTCTTGGAAGGTGTGAGCAGCGCTAAAGAACTACTCATTCCACAAGCCATTGGTTATCCCATTGGGGAGTCCATTACCTTTTCCATCGTCAATCCTTCGGATCTCTTCAAAGTCAACCCGAGCACCGGCGTCGTTAGCATTCTGGCAGACAAGAGTCTTGACCGAGAGACCATCGACTCGTACAAGGTGGTGATCCAAGCACGTGACACCAATATGCCTCCACAGATTGCGCAAACCATTTTGAATGTGATGGTGGATGATGTGAATGACAACAAGCCTGAGTTCATGGGTGTACCTTATTATATTGTACTRCAGCTGGGGGTACGAAAAAACAGCATCGTTGGCAAGGCAACAGCACGAGATGCAGACATCGGAAGTAATGGAGAAATAAGGTTTGCACATTATATTATATATTATATTTGTTCATTTAATTATAGATTACGTATAGGTGAACTTAAGGGTACATTATACGTTCTATTAGGGGGGAATGGGTATTCCCCTGATTCCTCTCCTCTTGCTACTGCTGGAACAGGTCACTTGGTCATCAGTACTCGTCATCATAACCAACTTTGCAGTGGACAAGTATCTAATTTTCTTCTTTCATTTTGCAGATATGTTCTAAAGGGTGGAGATGGCGGTTACTTCAAGATTGATCACAACACCGGTGACGTCATCGTCAGTAAATCCCTAGATGACGTCATTGTTCCCAAGCTCTTCACTCTGGTCGTCGAAGCAAGTGATAAAGGTCGGACTCCTTTTAGTACCGAGGCTGAGGTGAAAATCAAGGTRGTTGACAGAGAGACTCCTGTGTTTGATCAGCTTTCGTTCAGTAAGACGATTCCAGAAGATTCTGCTGTTGGTACTGTAATCACTCGTGTGACTGCAAGAAGTCCTAATGGTGTGGAGGTCCTGTACAGTATTACCCAAGGGGATCCTCTCAATCAGTTCTCCATTGATTTTAAAAGTGGTAAGTTGGACCTGTCTTAAGACCACCAAGTTTAGACGACCACCTGACTTTATAAATTATTTCTTGCCAGTACATTGGAAAATCACTTAGCTTACTTAGCTTACTTTCCTTGCTGATTTTACGTTAAGTCACCAGTTGAACTATCGACCCTTCCCGCACTTCAGTGACCTCTCTCCCATCCCCGACTCCCCCCCCCCCTACTTCCCCCCTTTCCCACACGTAGAAACTTATAAACCATTTATCGTATATTAGGTATTATAACAGTTGCTGCTCCTCTGGATTACGAAGCGATGCCATTGTACAAACTAACTGTCCGAGCCACCGATGCCAAAACCTCAGCTCATGCTGAAGTAGCAGTGGACGTGACGTTAACCGATGTTAACGACATTGCACCAGTCTTTAATCGTTCTTTTTACCTTGCAAAATCTGTCGAGAATACTCCGGTTGGRACTCCTGTGTTAACGGTCGAGGCCTTTGATGGCGATTCAGGAATGAATAAGAAGATCTTCTACAGCATTCAAAATATAAGCAAGGAAAACCAGTATTTCACGATTAACGCGACCTCAGGTGTTCTCTCAGTCGCCAAGTTACTAGACTACGAACGTCACGTGGTTCACGAGATGATCATTGTAGCATCTGATRKCGGGGYTCCTGTGTTGACCGGAGAAACGCGCGTACGCATTGTCCTGGAAGACGCCAATGATAACCCGCCAACRTTTGAAAAGACAATGTATGCTGCATCAATACTTGGTACTGCTGGACCAGGCCACTTCGTCATGCGCGTCATGGCAACCGATCCTGACGACGATGACGTCAGCAAGCTGAAATATTCTATCGTATCAGGCCAAGGCAAGCAACATTTCAATATTGACCCCAAGAGTGGTGTTATTACACTCTCGCGTATCGTTGGCATTCAGAGAGGCAAGGTATATGATTTAGAGGTGTCTGTAAGTGAYGGTCAACACGATGCCAAGACTGAAGTACGAGTGATCATCGGTGACACCAACAGTCATAGTCCTGTCTTCAGCAAAGATGTCTACAGGGTGGACTTCCACGAGAACTACCCTGAAGGAACCTTCGTTACCATGGTATCTGCCACTGATTTGGATTCTGGAAATTTCGCGCGAATTAGCTACTCCATCGATAGCGTTGATGCCATGCGCARGTTTAGGATTGACGCTGACACTGGCATGATTTACAGCAGGCTCATGTTCGATCGGGAGAACGCCTCTCAAGCTGTCATGGCTGTTCCTGTACGCGCAACGGACGGAGGAGGAAGATTTGGCTTCTGCATTGTTGAGGTAAGGTTTCAAATTTTTGGATTGAAATTATTACTTTAGCTATCAGAACATAAGCTAATTTTCACCTCTTTGATATTCAAGGTGTATCTTCTGGACGAAAACGACAATCAGCCCAAGTTCGAGTTCAAGCAGTACGAAACAACTATATCCCTCTCTGTTGCCTTAGGAACACAAGTCTTGATGACGTTGGCCATCGATGACGATGCYGGAAGTAATTCAGACTTGACGTACTTGATCCTTGGTCACCAGACTCCTCCCGTCTTCTCTATTGAGCGAAWCACTRGTGTCATAAAAGTAGCTCGTAAACCGGAAGTGAAAGCATACAACTTTTTTGTKCTGGTCAGAGACAAYGGAAACCCACAGCTTCGAAATCTTGTTCCAGTGAAAGTGACAGTCCTACCAACTGMTGTTAAGATTCTCCAGTTTGAGCAGTCCAAGTATGATGTGAGGGTCCCAGAAAGTGAATCAGTAGGAGARRTAGTCAAGTCCCTGCGTCTTATCGTTCCTACTGGAACTAATCCAGCAGTACAGTATAGTATTGTTCGTAGTAATTCAGACTCAAGCTTTCAAGGGAAGACATTCACTGTCGATTCGTCTGGAAGGATCCGAGTGGCTGGGATACTGGACTATGAGACTAGTAAGCGATACGTCATGGTGGTGGAGGCAAATGCGTCATCTGTTCACCAAGTAGCACGCACAGCAGTCGTTATTAATATCGATGATGTGAATGACAACAAACCAACCTTTGTATCCAATCCTTATCGTGTCAGTATCCCAGAAAACATCGATATTGGTTCCAAGGTTCTGCGCGTGTTTGCGGAAGACCTGGACAGTRGGAGTAATGGTGAGGTGCTCTATTCTCTATCACCCGGTGACCCAGAGGTTATGCAAAGCTTTGAAATCAATCCAAATACTGGCTGGATAACCACAAAAGGCGCTCTGGATCGCGAARTAAGAAGTTCCTTTACATTCAGAGTGCGTGCGATTGATCGCGGTTCAAAAAGYCAGTTATCAAGCGAGACGGTCGTTSGAGCAACCATCTTGGACGTCAATGACTCTCCACCAAAGTTCAGTCAACAGGAGTTCAAAGCATCAATCAAAGAAGACGCCCTTATCGGTCAGACCGTAGCAACGATTACTGCAGTCGACAGTGACGAGAAGTCGGATCTATTTTATTTTATTCTGTCTGGGGACCCTCAGGCTAAGTTTGGAATCGAGCGCAAGACTGGGGTGATCTTTGTCCATGGCGGTCTTGACYGTGAATCGGTTTCGAGCTATAAACTGAATGTCAGCGCATCAGACGGGCTGTACACCAGCTTCACACAAGTCAAGATAGACATTGARGATGCTAATGATAATGCTCCTATATGTACGCAGTCTATTTACGTCGAGAGAATGGCCGAAGATTCTCCGATTGGTAGCCGAGTACTGACTGTTTCTGCTATAGATGCTGATAMCGGGGTGAATGCGGAGCTGAATTTCACTGTCTATGGTCAAGGTGTGGGTGTCTTCACTGTTGACAGGAATACAGGTATGTTTATCTCATCGTCTGCATAGACCTCTACCTTGGGCATGATGCTTTTATCATTTCAGACCACGTGTCATCATGTTTCTGCTTTAGAATAAGATATCTTTTTTTGAGTTGTGCCCATATTCATATGGCTAGATCTTCTCATATGCAACCATTAAACAAAGAAATGATACTCTAGGGAATGACAAGTGGTCTGAAATGCGGTAAAGCATTTACGTCCAAGATAGAGAGGTCCATTGCCATAGTTCTTATCACTTACTAACATTTCATTGTCATCATCACCYGGTATTACCAACATTATTCTATCATTGGTCAGTAATAAGTACGTCCTCCCGTGAGAATWAAAGAACAAAACACATGGCCGCCATGTTGGTTGACATAACAAAAGAAAAACAAGACCAAATCTTTTGTCAAAGTCAACCAACATGGCGGCTATGACGTACTCCAAGAATGAAAGAATAAAGAATAAACTTTTCATAAAMTTACATCACCAATAGGATCATCCATTCATTTATTCGGTTATTGTCGTTTTTCAGGTCACATGTCTAATCTAGTGTCCCTAGACCGGGAGACAAGACCATACTACAATTTCATGGTGTCAGCGGCCGATATTGGAGGACAATCCTGCTTCACCAACGTCACCGTTCTTCTAGATGACGTCAACGATAACAAACCTGTTTTCACGCAGAGACGATACCTCACTTCAGTCTACGAGGACGCACCCCTGAAAAAAGTGTTGCTTCAAGTCAAGGCTGAAGACGCAGACATCGGCGTGAATCGCAAGATCTCGTACTCTTTGATCACAGATGCTCAAGGGACTTTTGAGATTGAGGCAGGGACCGGAATGATATCACTGAGCAAACCCCTCAATAGAGAGCGCAAGGAAAACTACACCATCGAAGYGAAGGCCCAAGATGGCGGAGATCCCTCTCTTTGGTCAAGAGCTGTCGTCGAGGTACAAGTCTTGAACATCCATGACGTACCTCCYGAATTTACGAAGGACGTTTACCATTGCAATGTGAGCGAAAGCGCAAGTAAGGGCACACGTATTGCAACTGTGCGAGCTATCAGCCGGGAATCAAGCAGAGATGTGATTACTTACAAGATACTCAAGGGATCAAATTATAAACTTTTTAAGATCAACTCTAAGTCAGGTACCATTAGGGTYGTTGGTAGATTAGACTACGAGAAGACCAAGTCGTACACGCTCACAGTCATGGCAAGCGATACAGGACCTTCGGTTCTCACCAGCACGACTTTGGTCAAGATCGATATCACAGACGCTAATGACAACAGGCCAGTCTTCAGCGAGAAAAGCTACGCCGCCAAGGTGGAAGAGAACTCAATCGTTGGTACTTTTGTGCTGCAAGTGTTCGCCACAGACCTTGATACCGGTTCCAATGGTGCTATTCGGTACTCCATTCAGAACGGCAACAGCGGAGGCAGGTTTGAAATCAATGGGGATACTGGTGTTATAACCGTGGCGGGTATAATCGACAGAGAGGAGACTTCTGAATACCGACTTGTCATCCGCGCGTTTGATCGAGGAAGTTCGCCATTAATGTCAGAGACAGAAGCGATGATTACTGTAACTGATGTAAACGATAATCCACCGTCCTTGACTCAAAATAACCTTACAGTTTCTCTGCAAGAAARCAGCCCGCTGGAAAGTAAAGTTCTGCATTTGCGGCCTCATGACAAAGACGGCCCAGGAAATGGCTCACCTTTTACCTTTACGCTCATCTCTGGCGATGCGTCGAAGTTTACTCTCAAACCCAATGGCTTGATTACAAAAACTGGCGCTGTTTCCCTTAGCGACGGTGCGTATGTGTTACGCATTCTTGTAGCAGATAGTGGTCATCCTCCGCAGAGTAGAGAAATCACCGTGGTTGTTAAGGTAGTAAAAAGCGTTACCCACCCGCCTCAAGTCAAACCGCTGTCCATTTATGTCAATCTCTATGAATCGAATTTCAACGGTGGGGTCATTGGAAGAGTCAAAGGCCTCGACCCTGATGGTGATAAATTAGTATTCTCCTTCGTTGATCCTCCAAGACAATCTTCACTGAGAATAACGAATGAAGGTACCGTGCGCGCAAAGGCGGGGCTATCCAGTGGAATCACGAAGCTGAACGTTAGTGTGACAGATGGAAGGTTTACAGTGTACACCAGCGTGACCGTGATCGTTTCTGATATAACGAACGAACTTCAGAGCAATTCCGTCACGTTGCGGTTATCCCAGATGAGCGCAGGTACCTTTGTTGATAAGAACTTCGAAAAATGCAAGGATTTTTTTGCCCGTTATTYGTTGGTGGCGCCTTCGAATATCCACATTTGGAGTATGCAGTCTGCTTATGACGATCTTGATGTTGTGATCGCTGCTAGGAGAACAGATAAGGTAAAGCATGTTTTTGATGGGTTTTTTTTCACACAAATATACAATGGACCTAATCCACCTAAGCATAATGTTTTCCCAATTCACATCACGTGTCATTCTTTTGAGAATAAGATTCGTTGTTTGAGTAGCATTCATATTCATGTGTCTTCTCATACACAACCATTAAACAAAGAAATGAAACTCCAGGGAATGAAACGTGGTATGAAATAAGAAAACTGTGGAATAGGTCTATTAAAGCTAAGAAGTTGCCTTTCATTCTTTTGGCAAAGCTACGAGTCGAATTTTTTTCATAAAATCATAACTGATTTCATATTCYCTATTATTTTTCAGGGTCTTTTCGACCCAAGTTATGTAATTGGCATGTTGAATCGGTCACGAAACGCCTTCGAATCCCAAGTTGGTGTACGTTTGTCCTCTACTGGTATCAGTCAGTGCCAGCTACTGGACTGCCCCAAACGCTTCACCTGTAAAGATGTATACAAGCCAGAAAACAAACAAATACGAGTCATGTCTGATGAAACCAGTTACATCTCCTACGAGCATTCTAGGAGTCACACGTGCACTTGTAATGACAAGTCAGGTGGTAAGTAGCCATGGATACTGTTACGTCATATGTCCTTGCAATGAAAATGTGACTTCACTGGACTATTAGAATTACTCCAAGAATTTCAAGTCTTGCACAGATAATTAGTGGCGTGGATCCCTTCCAATGAAAATAAAAGGATAAAAGACGTGGCCACGGTGTTGGTCGATATGACAAACGACATCAAGGCCAAATATTTTGTCAAAGTCAACCAAAATGGCGGCTATRAAGTCACATGCACCTCAAGGAATTTCAAGATTGTGTAATCTAGCAAAATACAAAAACGTAAATTACTGGAAGAGCTTACCCTACGGTCCAGAGGTTATTTATTCTTGCTCCTGTAGGAAGCAAAATAGAACCTCTGGAGCCCAGGGTAGGAAAAGCTGAACAAGGGCAGTAAGCTGAAAGTTTCATGCCTAACGTATTACTCCATCTCTTTCGTCTAGGGTGTGCTACGGATATGATCGGTAAATGTGCCGCTAACCCCTGCGCCTCGGGGTACAAGTGTACTGACTTCTCAGAGGGTTACCAGTGCAAGTGCGTGGATCCTACCAAGTGTGATATGGACACAACAGGGTGTGAGGATGCCTCGTGTATTAAAGGTAACCAAGGCAACAAGACATAAATCCCAGTTGTAGCTCAGAGGAAGACAAAAAAAATTGATTCTCAGGAAATAAAAAATTAATGATTTGTACTCCGATTTGAGCTGCGCTGGAAACCGAACCCGGCAAAGGGGCTGTAGATACTTGAGTATGGAAATACTATATTGCATATTTCTTTTTCAGGAAATGTGCTCATCAATGATCATTCTTATTTTGTTCTAGGGTCAAATTCACGATCATTCAGTGGAAAAAGCTTTATTCGTTATAAGTTGAAGGAGACGTTCAACCAACCTTCTCGATCAGTTGGTCTCGCCATCAAGACTGTCAAGAGCGATGGAACATTAGTGTTTGCCGCTGGCCAGTATGACTACAGCATCCTTGAGGTAACTCATCAAATAATATTCGACCCAAACGAAATATAATTTCACGAATGTTTTCGTCAAAAATAATTTTTGAGGTTTACTAATGCGTTTTTGATTCCATCGTTTCAGATCGTCAAAGGTTTCGTTCAACTTCGGTTTGACTTTGGAAGCGGTGCAGCGGTTGTCAGTATCGATTGGTCCCCGGTGARTGACGGGAAGTGGCATCACGTGGCTGTTGAACGACAAGGTAACCACGCCACCTTGATTCTTGATCGCGGTAAACATCAAGCCTCTGGCCAGTCCCCTGGGAGAATGCGCATCCTGAATCTCGATGACAACTCGATCTATTTTGGAGGCAAGGTTATCAATGCACGAGTGAAACGTTCATCAGGCCAAGGTATGTATATATTTGGTAGCAGTACTTAATATAGCATGAGTAATGTGAACTGTATCAGTACATAGAATAAACGACTGATCATCTTTGTTCATGCAACGGCCTACTGTTATCTATACCTGGTCCTTGCAAATAGTAAACTCGGAAACGTCCACTAGAGTTCCCTAAATTCAACCAATATGGATATAATCACTTTGGGAGTATTTTTTGTTCTCATAATTTATATGCTTCTCGTTTACGTCTTCTTTAGGTCCTGTTGTTGAGAACGGATTCAAAGGATGTATGCAAAACTTAAACCTGAATGGAAAAGATTTACCGATGTCAGGTTCTGATGCATTCGCGTCTGGATACCCAACCAACGCCCCTGCTGGATGCAGTACATCCGGGGCATGCCGTATCCCTAACACGTGCCCTAAAGCGAGTGCGTGCATCGAGACATTCAGTGGAAGGCGATGCGAGTGCCTGCGGGGACACTCGGGCCCAGACTGCAAGCCGTTTATCACCTGCTCAGGCAACCCATGTCAAAATGACGGTGTATGTACTGACACGCCCCGTGGCTATCGTTGCACTTGCCCTAAAGATTACACTGGATATCAATGCCATGTGTTTATTGGAGCATGCGCAAATGCACCTTGTAAGAATGATGGTTTGTGCTTGCCTTTGCCGTCTGGTGACTACAAGTGCGAATGTCCAGTTGGAGTCAGCGGTGTTAACTGTGAGATCGACCGAAGACCATGCTCCAGTAACCCCTGTTATTTTAACGGCAACTGCACCAATCTTAGAAAAGACTTCCATTGTTCCTGTCCACGTGGTTTGTCAGGAAAGCGCTGTGAACTGGGCTTCCACTGCAACCGCATGCCATGTCTAAATGGCGGCTCATGTGATGTAAAGGGAGACCAATCCATCTGTATTTGCACTAAAGGTTACACTGGATTAGACTGCAGTCAGGATGTTAACGAATGCACCAGCAACCCTTGCAAGAACGATGGGGTGTGTGTCAATACTATCGGTTCGTTCCATTGTAACTGTTCTTCTAGTTCATACGGAGGTCCTTACTGTAATACAGTATTAGCAGCCATGACACCGGACGACAAGGAACTTCCTCTCAGTATGGAGGCCATTATTGGTATTGGAGTAGTATTGGCTGTATTATTACTTATTGTTTTAGTTATCGTCCTTCTCCTTCGTCGTCGCGCGAAGAAGAAACGCGAACTGGATCTCACCAAAGAAGGAGCGAAGCGAGACTCTGTTCTTAAAGTTTCGCCTCCTGTTGTGGGCTCAGAACTCGACTCACCAACACCACCCACCCCTCCCCCAAGGATTCCTGAATATCCCGAGGGAGAACCACCTCGCTATGAATCAGAAGACACGTGGAGAAGAAACAACTCAACGCGGTCGTTCGACACCGCGAAGTCTTTGAACAACTCAGAGAGCAACGCAGAGAGATATCATTGGGACTACACTGATATTCCTACTGATTTGGTGCGTCCACGGGCAGGGCTTGTTAGAGAGCGCTCTGCCAGCTATATGGGTGTCCCAGATGATTCTCAATACCCCGACGCCCCTGATGTCCCAGAAAGGTCCGCAAGTAGAATGTCTTCTCACAGCTCGGGTCTTGATGTCCCTGAGGTACCACAACGACCCCGCAACTACAGACCCTCGGAATCTGACGATCAACACCTCGAGATTCCTCCCATGCCGAACAGTCGACGAAGAGCCCCCGAATCGTCCCAAATGTCAGGCAAAGCGTCGTCGCGGTATTCAATGGGTTCTGAGTACTCGGACATGACAGATGCCGACTACTGCAGATCTGTTGGTGGTGATAGCAACTATCCTGATTTATTCAGGGGCCGCTTCCCCGGTCCACCCAAAGAACCATACCCGGAGAGTGTCGACACGCTTCCGGTCGGGGTCGGACCCTACGCCCTCACTATGATCAGAGACTCAGAACTTGGAAGCATGACTGATTTCTCTGAGGACGACTTGGAACGAGTTTACCTGGGAAACAGTCGTATGGAAGCCTGTGGAGATTCACCTGAGAACACTTATTTACACTCCGAGAACGCTTCTGAAGACGACAGARACAGTGAACGTCGGCTTGAACTAGAGGATCCTGACTTTCATCAAACATTACAGAAAGAAATCAAAGAAATGATGAGCCAGTTAGAAGAATTGAAGCATGAATCAGAATTATAACATATATAGATCAATTCTAGAAAGATAGTTATTTGTTTACAGTTAAATGACAAAGGTATATTTTCGAGGAATACCAAGTACTCTCTAGATTCATTTCGACAAGCAACGAGGCGATACTTCTGTGGGATAAACACAAAAAATATTAACCTATAAAAAGTTCCTTTTTTATTTTATATACTATTTTACTCGTGTAGAATTTTTACCATTTTTTTACCATTTTTTTATCTTTTACTTTTGCTATCAAAACAAACAAGACGACTTGCTTGTTCGGGTTATGTTTGTTGTACATAATTTTGAAACAAAACRACAACAAAAAACAAAAAAACRGTGTCTTTTGAAGAGTCTTCAGAATGATATTTTTATACTTTTGATAGTGTTTTGGTATAAAATACTGCTATCTTTTACATGTTTTTGCAACTTTACGCAAATGAGATTCTCGTACTTTTGAAATATTTTCCAAATTTCAAACCTATTTTTGCTTTAAAAAAACCATACCAAGAAATAAACCGCTAAAAGAATCGCTATTCTAGTATTCATCTCCAAAGTTTGTAGCAAGTTTGAAGATGTTTTGCAGTTGACAAATTTATTTAAACGAGGTCAAAATTAACCTCCAAAACAAATTATTTCATTAATCATTTTATAAAGTTCATGACGGATAATTTATTTATCGCCTATTAGTTTAGTACTGTTTATATCATCAAAGTTGTATATTTAGGTAATTTATTTTGTGATGTTTCATAATAAATAATAAGGTCGTTTTTATCATTCGTACTGTTATATTGCTCTTGGAGTTTATGTATCTTTTATAAAGAGCTTTTATAACGTAGCTGTTTTGCGGAATTTTTTTWAAATAAATAAAGTTAGTATTGTTACAACCTGTCTGAATAATTGGTGTGGTTTCTTTGCACAATGGTAAATCCCCCTTATGAGCTACCTGTGTGCTCTTACCATGACTGATGATGATGTCATAGTAAGCTTTCTTTCTTTCCTAATCTTTTCAAAGAAATATGATTTCAAGTCTGTTATCAAAGTTTCTCAAGACCGCGCACAGGCTAGCTTTTTTAAGAAAAATTCCTAAACGCGCAAGTCTTTATTAAGAGGTTAAATAGCCAATCACAGAAAAAAATTGTTCACACCTCCTTGTTCTTAAAACCAAGGAAAAAATGAGGTTACTAAGATCTACTACCAGATCGACCGAAAACCAAGCGGTTTTTTATGTGGAATAAAAGGTCTTTWTTTTTCTTTTATCCTTGGAGCTCCAGGGCCAAGTCATGGACATCAAAAGTTACTTCCGACGTTCTCTTAACGATAATAGCCCGAGTTGCGTCAGATTCAAATTAACATTATTGAAAGAAAAAGTTAAATAATCTTACTTTATGACGCGCGCGCGCACGACAGAAAATGGCCGCGTAAGTGAGAGACTGGGTACAACCAGCCAACCGATCAGTAATAACTCTTCAATCAAAAAAAACCTCAAAAATAAACTCCAGATAAAAGTGTTGTTTTTGATTGAATATCATTTATTTTAACTTATTTTAATACGTGATAGGCTAGCYCAACGCTTAGGCAGACAAAATGGAAGGCAAAAGCTCTGGAACTCATTTAAAAACAAGCGAGAAGGTGAGTTTATTTRGTGTCGTGGGAATTTTCAGTTTTTTCCCCAATGGCCACCGGTTAAAAAAGCCGGGAAAAAATCATATTACCTTCCATAGTGGTTTACGTAAGGTATACGACTGTCAATCTACTTTTATTCCATTGTATTAGGTTCTGATGGACTTGAATTATTACGTTTAACTTTTWAAAAAAAAAWWATGTTCGATGTCGGTCTTTCCTTCGAAGGYCTTTTCTTCGTAAGGCTATATAATCTTAAACTGAAACTAGATAAACTAATACAAGCTTTCATTCCTCGAGAGCGTAAACACGGGTTCGCAAGAGTCCCGGTAAGGGATTATTTAGATTGGGAAGAGGCCATGAAAAGAAAAAAAAGTTACAAACTTCTATGTTGTCATATGTCTGTTCGTTCTGACAGGACGTGAACTATTAAATATCATTAGGTATTTTCTCTATTCGGGTAATATATATATATAGGAATAAGATTCTTTAGCATAAAAATACATATGCGACTGCAAAARTATAAATGAACAGTGATTATAGGCCTGTCTAGTTTTAGTAATTATACATTCAGCCTTACGCTTGTCAGAGGTCATGGAAAAAATTTGAAGTGTTTAAGTTCTGGTATTAAAGAAATCATTTTCAGTAGCGTAGAAATTACTATTCAAATTATGCAGATATGCCACAAATATTTTTGTTTTAAGTAAAGGTGCAAGTAAATGGTACAACTTTGCATGGTAAAGTGCTTGCAAATGGGTCAGGGAAGATCACATGGTAGCTTGCTCCCACAACAYGCTACAGCAACACGCTCCYGGAGCAAAGCTCCCTTGTCTGTACCAATGATTTCATGCGGAAAGAGATGTTGCGCAACAAAACTTTTGCTCCTGGGTTTTGCTCCATCATATCAAAATGGCTAAATATAATGGAGCAAGCTYGAGGAGCAAATSTGTTGCAGAATTGTGTTTTGGGAGCAAGCTCCCTTGTGTGTACTGAAACTTTTATTGCCGCGCAACAACCTGTGTCCAGTTGGCCAATCAAATTGGCTTATTTGTTGGATTTATAACAAGTTCCCATGCTCCGATCGGGTTGTTTCATTGTTTAGATCCCTCGTGTGCACTGGTCTAGCAAAATGATCCAGGATCACCCAGGAGCRTGTTGTGGGAGCGTGTTGCGGGAGAAAGCTCCCTCATGTCTACCGGCCTTTACCTCAAGAGTATYCAAGATGAATAATTTGTACACAAGCAACCCGACATTTTTCAAACTATCATGGGAATTTGTTGGCGTAAATCCAACTGAACTTTGAAAAATTAAGGGCTGCAATAGAGGTTTTGCATGATCACGTGTTGGGAAATAAATATGTAAAATGTTTAAGTATTGCTCCTGCCTGACTTTTCCAACATGACTGTCATGTTGACAACATGCAAAGCCTCTATAGAAGGATTTTTCAATAAGTACAGTGGGGACCAGAGAAAGGGTTCGRAGTAACTTTGGTTTGGGATATCCTTGGTAAAATTATTGTATGTGACACTAATCCACAGGATAAAGGCTTTAAATCAAGTACATATCAAGAGTTCAAGATATAGCCAGCAGGACTCTATTGTATTTTACAATGATCCAACGACATTTTATTGTGTAGTAATGGTATTAGGTGGGCACGTGTGGGATGGGGGATAGATTATTAGGGGCAGTTCAAYGAAAAGATTTCTATCAACTATTGGAGAATCATTTTTTATCTTTTAGGTTCTTAAATCAGTGGTAAAACTGTTTGTTCAATTGTCTACTCCCAACTACAGCATGCCATGGCAAATGAAGAGACAACAGCAAGTTTTTGGCTCAGGATTTATTATATCAAACAGAAGAATATTAACCAATGGTCATGTTGTTGCTTATCAAAAATCTGTAAGTGTAAGAAAAATTAATGTTGAACTGACTGGCATTTGTGGCTTAGAAGAGAAAATTATGATYAAACTTGATTCAATTCAGTGTTTGGGCTAAACCACTTGAAGATAAGGCTAAACTACTTGGGACGAAACCAACATTAGAGAGTTTTAGATTGACTTYTTTTTCTCCCCGCAAACGGCAAACGTAACCACGTTTTCATAGTTTCCCTGTATTTTATTTTACCTTTTTACAAACCTTCTCACCAAGTGCAAATACTCTTTTGTTTTTCTAGCTACTACTTGGACTTTTTTGCTATTCTTTTTCAGTAAATTAAAAGAATTTTTTACTGGTCAACTGACGTTTCACGTTTGCCGTGAACGTAAATCTAAAACTCTCTATTAATTCTGAATTACTTGCATCAATAGATATAACTCTTCTGCTGTTAATGTCTCTTCACCTTAGCTTAGTTTTTGACAATCAGCCAATCAGAAAGGCTTAAATAATATAAATAAGTCATTGTTTCCTTTCACTTCTCTCACTTCCTTTATTGATTAAAAGAAAAACTAGACTAGAAAGGGAAAGGAAAATGCAGCAGACTTATCCATCTCTGCAGCACAAGTAAAATTACATATGATTAACGATGTATGTTGAAGATTACAGACATTTTTTGTGGTTTGCTAATTCCCTCCCACAACAACCTCTTCAATGGAGGCTAAGTCTGAGACTTGTCACACTGCTTCTATGTCACTCAGATTTTGCAGAGCGGTTTATATTCATCAATCTCTAAAGGGCTTTAAATGATAGCTGATCAGAGTTGGAACTTGTCCAGTCAAATCTTTGCCTCGTAGGAAATTTTAAGCAGTAACGTTGAGCCAGAAATGAATTACGACTCAGTAAAAAACTAGCTTGGCCAGTAGTGTAAATCATGACAGGCACTGGCACTGAATGTAATTTTATTTTAACTGTTTACTTTTTTCGGACGTCATTTCATTCTTGAGTATTATGTTTTTCATTATGTTCATCGAATAGACACAACACTTGGGATCACAGCTGGGATCTTATTCACAATATATTAAATTACCTTAAATATTCCAGAGTTATTTGAATATTTTGATTCAATGTTAATACTTTACATTAAAAAATAGCTCATTCTCTTGTTTATTTCTATATCCATATTTTCTAGGTAAGAGTTCGCAAACATGGTGATGCCAARAAGTACAATGCCCATGTCGTACATGTTGGACATGAATGTGACATTGCTATGGTAACATAATCCTATTTATCAATACATGCTCTACTAGGGAACATATATCCATTATACGAATGATAATGCCATGCTAATCTAATCACACACACCAAGATACTCTGAAGAAAATCTTAATTATAAGAGTGTTGAATTCATTCAACCATGTGAAGCTGTGATATTTAAATGGCCTGAACATCTCTGTGTGTGACTGAAAATTTTGCTGTTAACTATATTGGAGTCCTAAACTACTTAAGTATATCATAGCTCAAAAAGGTTAAACATTTTCAGCTTCTTACCTGTAACCTTTCACAGTCTGTATGTATTTACATGTAAAAGTTGATAAGCATAATGAATTCAACCCATCCCATTGCATTGGTATATGAATCAATGTGGTTTTGACTACCGCCAGGCTCAGTGTCCTATATGAGTAGAGTTGTTTGTTGGTTCTCTCCTGTCTTTGAGGGTTTTCCGGGTTTCCAGTTTTTCTCCCTCTCCAAAAATCAACTTCTAAATTCCAATTGAAATTTCAGTGGATGAAAAGCCACTCTGTGGAAATGCCACTGCTAAATCCTATTTCTTTCTTCCTTCCTTCCTTCCTTCCTTCCTTC